TTTTTTTTGGTACTGGGGATTGAACTTGGGTCCTTGCACTTGCAAGGCAGGCTACCAAACTGCTGAGCTAAATCCCCAGTCCCTGTATTTTCTTATTAAAAGAAAAAATCTCATAACAGTTCTCACAGTGACATCATATAAGAAAGCCTTCTCTTCTAAGTCAGACACTTCAACTTCAAGGCTACAAAAACGATGAATATGAGAAAGGAACAGAACACTGGCTGACAGCCAGTGCCATTTCTAGCAGTTCCCAAAGACTATCAGTTCACTAATTTCAATGTTTTTCTTTCACATCCCTGCATTTTTATATTGGGAGATTACAAAACGAATGTGAAAAACTGATAGTTTTAATTCCCCCACTTTAAAAAGTTTTCAGGTTATATCACAGAATCTTAGGTAGGTCAAGCCTTTTCAGGAACCTGGCAGTTCCCGGAGCACATGTATTACTTTTGAAATAATTTCTAATAACATAAATACCAACTTTTGTTCAATGGCATAAACATAACAAAAAATCCACTTAAAAGTGTTGCCTTGTGAACTGTGTTTTGATTATAGGGGAGAACTGAATTGGTCATTCTAAGCTTATTAAGCTCAAAGTGACCTTAGTTTAGTGTCCTGGGAAGTTTTCTTATCCATAAAATGGAGGCAACAACAGTTAACAGCCTCATAGCACAGCTGTGAGGATTAAAAGGAAGATCCAGTAAAGTGCTTATCAAAGCAACTGGCGCATAAGTACTCAATAGTTACATTTACCAGTTACCTGTGGTTAAGTAGCTTTAAATGTGCCCAAATCATTTTCCAACATGGCCAAGACACATAAGGCCACTTGTACTAGTGTAACGGTTCTGAGGATGAACAAGTTTTGAATTGGTTTTACTGGCAGATGTTTTTTCCACTGAAATTTGGAGAATTGTAATTCAGTGAAAATATAGCCCATATATTAGCCAGATTGTTATGAAGAAAATGAATGTGGTCACCATTACCACAAAGATTTGATAACTTTAATACTTTTAAAATTCAAACCAACCAAACTGGTTATCAGATGAGAGAAAACTAGTCCCCTCATTGTTTCTTGCAATTTATCTACTGTGATGTATAAAAAATATATCAGCTAAGGTTTTAAACTTTACATTTAGAAGTATCGATGGGGTGTTACTTTTGCCCTTCATGTTGCCTGATGTCAATTCTTCACTCTCTAAAAAAACATGAAAGAACCAATGTTACTGGCTGACAATGTAAGTAACTTTGCCATCAGCTGGGTGATATTTTCCTTCATTATTCCAAGTGAAGTGGATATTTTTATGCAGTACTTACATGACTGAAAGAAGCCATCACTCTGTTTACAAAAATACATAATGATACATACGGCTGTTTAGACACATTTACATTAGAGTTGTGACTCAAGCATTCTACTTGACATGTTTTTCCAAGTGTTGCCAAATTAAACATAGACCAGCAAGACTTGCACCATATGTGCAAAATCATTTACTATTATATTTTTACAAATCTGCGAAGAGCTATCAAAGTTAGCACAGATCTGTACCATGAAAGACACAGTAATGAATGAAAAAGGTTATACATTTAAATCTTTCTAAAAATGAAATTGTCTAACATGAAATTTTTCAAAAAATAATTGATAGCTAAGAAACTACGGAGGTAGTCAATGGGTATTACGGTTCAGTCTAGAACATGTACTGAATGACAGACTCCAAATGAGGGCGATGTATGTTTTCTGTTCTTAATAGAATACATGTTTCACCTTTGTATGATGCTCTATCTGCTCTGAGAACAGAAGGGTGGCACTGGTGACTAAAAGTGGCAGGGAAACCCAGATATCACAAACCTGCAAATCCCTAAGTTTGTATTATTGTATAGATTTTGTGTAAACATAGGGCATTACACAAATGGTAACTGAATTTTAAAAAATTTTACTGACATCATCATTAGTTGATGCCATATGGAATAGCTGGGTCAAATAAAGATTGTAATGATTTTTACCACCTTATAATCCTAATGAAAAGATAAGGAATAATCCACAATATAAAATCAGCCACTTAATCTACATCTGTGAAGTGGCTACAGGTAACTCTTAATTCCTCCACCAAAGGAAACGACAGCAATTTTCTGCACCCTAGTTTTATTTTCTATATTCTCAGTGAAGCTTTATGAAACACAAATGGCGACAGTCATCTAAATGCTGTGATGGACTGAGGAACACCAAGGAAGCAAAGCTCAGGTTTAAGGGCTGGAGGAAAACACTTTCAAACAAAAATGGAAGCTACAAATTGAAATGTTTATAGTTTTTCCTGAAAACATTTAACACTAAAGTTGAATCAGAAGGTTTGAACAATGTACTATTAAAAAAAAAAGTGTTAGGAAATGTGACTTTACTTACTACTAGCAGAATACTGTTCCCCTCTACAGGTTTCTGCCCTATGTATGCCAACGTAGATCATGCAGGTTAACCTCAGCCTGGCTTGGGGCTTCAGTTCACAGTGACAAGCAGGCATGACCTGTGTCATTTTAATTTGGAAAACGAAGGACACATATACATACTGCCATTTTGGGTAGGCATGGACTACTGTGATGCCTGGGACTCTGGACACATCTATTGATCAACAGAAGCACAGGATTAGCCTGTGTGGTCAGACCAGCTCTACCCAGCCCCATGACCTCTTCCTCTCACCAATGAAGTGGAGCACAGCTGCTTCGTGAGCTACTGTAATTCAGTTTAATTTACACCAGTGCTAGTGACTCAAGGATAATTCTAAAGGATGACATAACACTAAATTTCTTGTTATGAGAGCAATATATCCAACTGCCAAGTAAAGATATGGAAAATCAAATCAAGATTAAGCAACATCATCACGTCTCTAAAGAGATAACTGAAAGAATGACAGCAATAATAGTGTCTTATTTTAGTGGTAAGCTTTTTTTTTTTTGTCTCATTGAGCTTATTGGTACTTTTTCAGTATACAGAATAGTGACATTCATCATTTGGATCTTGTACCTTTACTTGACAGGTCTTAGTTAGTGGTGAGCTTTTAACCTTGCCACACAGAAGCCACCTGCACCTTAACAAAACAAAACGAAAACAAAAAGCCTCAAAAAACTGAATGTCCTTTGTAAGTCCTGATTTAAAAGCCAAGTTACCATCATGAAGCCAAGTAACACCAGGATGGATGTATATTAAGGAGAGTAACCAGCAGAGTATCTGAGCTGATGCTTTGTTACAGACTTAGTGAGTAAAAACGCCTGAGCCAGAGGGTGGATTAAAGAGATATAGCAATTACACAAAGTATGACAAGTATAACAGAATACTCAGAAAGGCAATGGACTGGCTATGAGGTGCAGAGTCATCCCTGTGGGTGATGGCTTCCAGATATGCAAACAACCAACCAACAAGTACTTTCAACATTCTAAAATCTGTGCCTTAACAAAATAACCCACCTGGAGTGGGAGCAAATGAGGGAGGAGACCTGGTGTGTCTCTAGGGCAAAGGTGGTATGCAAGCCCACTAGAGCAGCCCTTGCAAGTAGTGAAAATCACAGCTACTCACAGCTGTGGTGTAGGCATGTCATGTGTAAGGCCATGCAGAACGAGTGTACAGGTGTGCCTGTCCCCATTAGTGAAGAACAGCATGACACCAAACAATGTGCAGAACTCTCACATTTAATAGGAAAACAAACCTAGAATTGTTTTTCCTAAAGTGATGGTCAATATCGTTGCTAGAGAAAACAAGGACAAAGCACTCAGCAGTGAGGATAACTAAAGCAGAGGGCAAAAAAAAGGAAAGATAAAATGGAAAGGCAGATGAGGCTATGGTGGTGTTTTCTTTCTACCCAAGATTTTATGACATCAAAGAATCTCTTAAGACACTGACTTTCCACACCTTTAAACAGAATTAGAATTAGTTCTTCCTATAGCTGCTACAAATCTGACAAATGACCATCTCCATACACACTAAACTTTTCAATGGATAAAAGCTAACAATCATTAAAGAGGCTACAGAAGGACTTGCTTCTAGGACTGCAAATACTTTGTATGCTCACCAATACTAAACACAACGGCTAATTTGTGGTTTTACTTTCACCAAAAAAAGGTTTTAAAAATGTACTTCATAAATGGATGCTCATAAATTTGAATTTCCACCTGGTTTTTTTGTTGTGTTTGTAGATGACAAAAGCCTTCAATAAATGCCAGCAACTTAGATATCTGTACAACAAAGAATGTGAACTAGTTTGGCATAGGCAGTTTCCCCTCACATCCAAAGCTAAATCCTCAGAAATAATGATTCTAGCACCTTTGTAGAATTTGCTGACAAAGACAGAAACACTTTCACATATGGAGCTCAACAAGCTAAACGGGGGAATTGGGTGAATGTAGAACAGTGTGAAATGAGCCAGAGCGTGGCATTCAGGGGAATAATGGGGGAAGGGAGGCACACACACTTGGGACCAAACATCTTCATCAACAACAAAGGGGGAAAAGAAGTTTCATACAAATCCTAAAGATCAACTTAGCACAGAAGATTTTCAAATATCAGAGAAATTGCTGACAAACCCATTGCATAGTTGTCAGAATGGCCTTGAAAATGTGTCTATAACTTCAGAAAATCTGGTCAAGGCAGCAATACCATCAATCATACCACGTGTCTGGTATTCAGGGCAACATACTAACAGAAATTCTCACTGTTCAACCCATTACTTTGGCATTGTGTTGACAAAGCCTGATTTAAGGCTATGGAAACTGTGATCTGTGAATCTATGAAGCCAAGCATTTGAAAATCATTGTAGATCTTTGGATGTTTCTTAACTCACATAACAAAACACTATTACTGTTACTCCAGTGATCACATAGCCTTTCTGAGCAACAAGGTGGAAGTTTTCTTTGTAAAACAAAGTAGCTGGCTTCCAATTAACCACTGTCTATACAAATGGCCTCTGCTCTCTGGCTTTTTGTTAAGAACGGGCCTGGTAATATACAGACATCATATGATGTCAGCTGTTCTGTGTCTTTGCTGAGAACTCTGAATTCAAATCTTTGGAAAATGTAAAGACAACTTATTTGAATTAAACTCAGAGAAGGCATATTCCTTGTTCCATAAAATAGCTCCACATCTTACTTCTCCCATAGACATGAACACTAACTTAACCTCCCTTAGAGACCAGCTCTGCAAAGGAAATAGCTTACTTGAAGATGCGGACAGGTGACCAGGAGCTCATCTATTTTTTCACCCTCACCATTCAACCAATAATCATTCTATAGAAACTTGAGTTTTACTTTTGATAATATTTCTTATGTCTGTTGTAGGTGCCACAGACTCCCCAAACAAACATAAAATGGACTTGTATTTTGGAACTATGGCAGTTGTTCAAGAGTTTTAAGGTTGAAAATGTATAAGTATGACAATAACATGCTTTGGACTCTCAGGTGACAGGTACAAAGACATTTACAATTGGAGCTCTTGAAAGGACTGGCTGCTACAGTGGGGAAGATTCTGTCCACTAATCCCCAGATCCATCCTGTGAACTTTTATTGAAGACTTCATCCTGTGAAGCCTGGTGATCGATCCCTTCATAAAATGAGCCACCGTTGTGCAGGAAAGTCCCCACCGCCCGCCCCTGCCGGGCGTGACCCACAGCATCGCTGAACACTTTGTTTATCTGCTCCTCCGAGGGCATCCACCAATCTGGGTTGGAGGTACAGTGCATCCTAATGAATTCTGTGGGAATATACACAACAGTAAAAAAAGAGAGAGAAAAACACAACTGGTTTTGAGAGAAGGTGACAGCCTGCTTAAACTTTAACTTAAGTTCTACCAGAAAAGCTAGATGGGAGATCCAATGCAATGCCATAATGAAGTCACTTGTGACACACCCAACTTATTCCAGACCAATTTCCTTTTCATGTGGAAAGGTAAAAATCACTTAAGTGAGAGAAAGCTCTCTGAGAAACACTTGCCGTTGAAAAGAAGGGTAAATCTGATTAGTAAGACAAGGTGGCACCATTCCTAGTATCAGAGAGGGCATTTCAAAACTCATGTTATTTGTTTGTATTTTGAGAAAGTTCTCTCTGGAAGTGTAGCTAATACAGTGTGGTATTCTTTAACCAGCTATGAGTTTGAAGATTGAGCACAATAACCCATCAAGGTCTCAATGAGTGAAAAAGTATCTGTTTTCGCTCAGAAAAGATTTCTGCATTCTTAAAATGTTCCAAGTTAGGCTATATTTCTTTTTATACTGGTTATACCTGCACATGTGCTGGACAAGTTTTACTGATGGCAGGGGATCAAATCCAGGGCCTCCTGCACACTTGTTAAGTGCTTTACCACTAAGCTATGTTTTCAAGCCTGGCAGGTTTTGTTTTTTTAAACAAAATCCTATCTAAATATTTAATTTCACAAGAAAGCAATTACTATGCCTGGAGGAGGCAATAGTCAGCCACCATTTTTAACCTCAGATGGCTGGATGGAAATTATGGGATGTGGCCCCCACATGAAAAAAGTGCTACAGACTTCGGCCTCTGGTTAGGAAGCCTGGACTACATCAGTGACAGTAGGCCAGTCGTAGTGTTCGGCGCAGTGGCACTGTTCTCTGGGATGTATTTTAATCCCTCAGTTTCACTGACTTGCTATTAAACTGTGAAATGTTAATAAAGTTTTTGGAAAGGGATACGTTGTGCTACCCTTCATCTTGACTCCTTTGTAAGTCCAAGAGCAACTTCAATAAGGTACACAGTGCACCCATTTGAGTTCCCAAGAGTAACACTGCCTCTTGGTGAGTATACTCATAATCTATGATGATGGTGTAGTTGGGGAAAGTAGTCACTTTACTAAATAAAATAGGGCCTGGAAATTTCCCATCATTTAGTTACTCCTGGTTAAGTGGAATTTTCAACCTGGCCAATAGGAGGAGCTGAGTAACATTTGTGTGTTAATTTTTCTAAGTGGCTTCCTTAGACACCACCAACCCACCTCAGAATCACCTAGGGTGACTATGTCCAGAAGCATTTGTATCTTCCCCATCCCTACTGAATTTATCTTGAAAGTGGGCTACGTAATCTTAGCTGACAACAAATACTACATATGTACCTTAGGCTGCAGAATTCAACTGCCTAGATAAGAATGCATCTCAGGAGTGAGTGTAGGAATGTCCTTTCCAAGATCCAAAGCCTTATTAGTGATACATCTTTAAAAGTGTGAATTCAATACCAGAATAGTTTGATTCCCTGTCCACATTAAATCAATATTATGTTTTCCAGCCAATAAAATTACAATAGAACCATAGAGGTTAAGATTTGAGATTTTGCTCTATTTTGTTACGAAATTTTGCTTTACTTTTTCATTTTTCTTTATTAATATCTACTTGAATTACATTAAATTTAAAAAAAGTACGTGAGATTTTGGATAAGGATTTCTCAGGTGTTTTGGTTGGCACTGTAATGCTTCTACTTGTCTAATTTTGTGTTTACTTGTACCTGCTGAGTCATCTATGTACCTCCTGATCCCCCCCCCAACCTTCTGCCTGGCCTGCAGCTGCAAAGTAGCCACCTGTTAACAATGATGAAATGGAATTATTAAATAAGCAGTACTTTTAATACAGAAACTTTTCTTTCTTAACCTAAAGAAGAAAGTTTTCCTGGATAAGATATACTTTAGGTAGTATTCAGACCAATTTAAGGAGTTGAGCCAAGTATTGGGGAGGAAGATAGATGGGAGTGCCCAAGCTGAAGAGGAAAGAAGTATCATTAAAAAAATCCCCATGTTCCCTTCCTGTGTGCATTCTCCTTTGCTCCAGTTTTGCCAGAAGAGGCCTTCTCTGGCAGCAAAGAAAATCTGTATTTGAAGCGTGAAACATGAGGTGCTATGCAATGCTATGTACCACTAAGTGAGAACGAGGCTAAAGCAAAAGAAGAGTTTTTACAGAGCTTCTCAATACCAAGTAGATGGGCCACATGAAGGCTACAAGGTCTCAGTGGAAAGAAATCAAAATACAGTGAGGCTGAACACTTGTACGGGGAGCCACAGCCAATGCAGTGAAATGGGATCACAGATGGCGGACACTGAGCGGAAGGATGCAGTACCTCGGAGGCATGTGACTTTAACTGGATCCAGAGGGCGTCTTTCAGGACCTGTCTCTCCTGACTGCACTGACCTTTTCCTTTTTCCAAGGCCGCATGAGTACTTAAGCTCATCGGTTGTGAAAACAAATCTGATGAGGTATCGAAGGAGCCGTCTCCCATCTTTCTTTGAAGAATTTACAGCCTCATCCCACTGTTTGCTCGTTATGTAGACAGGATAGTTGTTCAGCAGCTGCTTGCTTCCCTGGAAAAGCAAAATATTTTCTCATTACCTACTGAGCCAGGCAGCCAGAAGCCAAAGCAATCTCCATTTCAAAGGCAAACGTGCCTTTTAACCAAATGGCTATGCTGACAATGAACCAGAGACTGAAGAGCACCAGTAATTGCTCACATTCAGAAGGGGCACTTTTCAAATTACATTTGCATTTTCTATAACAAGAGCCAATGAGGTATAATGAACACCTTTGAAAGAGGAGCTATTTATAACTCGTATTTTAACAGGTAGGTTAAAATGTGTCAAGATCCAATGACAGTGAGCACTATTTAAATATAACCTGTAACTTTCCTTTTCAATCTATTAAAATATGCAAAAATGACTTTGAAGAATGTGATCAAACAGGTCCCTTCATCCTTTGGTTGGCAGCTAAGTTCTTTTATTTTTTTTAATTTGTAATTTTTTTTTTTTTTGGTACCGGGGATCAAACTAGGTCCTTATGCTTGAGAGGCAGGCAGTGGCACCACTAAACTAAATCCCCAGCCCAGTTAAAGTTCTCTTAAAGATAATGCAGGAGGTCTTATGTTAATAAGGTACTACTTGTGTTTAACACACCTAACACCTGACAACTATAACTATGCAAGCAACTTTAAAAAGTAAATTTTAAAATGGAGAAATTGTAGAAACTGGAAAAAAAAAACATTAACAATAATGCAAAACAGGTTTCTTCAAATTATAGCTTCTGCAAATGCCACTATGTCAATTCAGAATTTTTCTTACTTTTCACCTTCATTATTTATGTCTGCAATAAAATTCCCAGCCTAAATAGCTGCAGTGGGACTAATTACGGGAATTTTCTGTAACATTTATAAGCCATGTTTAGTCAATTGCACCTACACAACCATTACTTTAGTTCTGGCTGTCTATAAAATTCTACAGTCCAGGACAAATTAATTAACCCATGATCTCAGTTTTAATGAACTCCTTCCCCAGTAATTAAGGTGTACAAAATAAAGAAGGGGAAACTCATTCAGTTTTACAATTCTACAAATTTACTACAGGTTATAAATTTGGTAGTGTTTGAGGCTGACGGGATGTTATTTCAAAAAGTGCTTTACTTAGTTAAGCATTGAGAAGGGTAAATGGAATAGAAGCCAACTGACAAGAGGCATCCAGATTTGTGTAGGAAGCCAGTGCTGAATTGTGCACGTGGAAACTCATTTCAGTAGTCACTGTTAGGGAATTGATCATGTTAAAGTATGCTGTGACGCCGCCTCACAGGCTGCATTCTCCTGGTACATCTTGGCTCCTAAAATGACCTCATGCCCTTATCTCTGGTTTCCCTCCCTGCCAAGGCCACAGTGGTCCAGGAAAGTTGAAACCTGTGTCTGCAGGACTGGGCCCATAAAAGCAATCTGGCCTGTGATAGGTTAAAAGTAACTCACTCCTCCTAAATAAGCAATAGCCCACCCCAAAGCTGATAAAAGGACCTTCCTTTCTTTGTTCTCTCTCTCCTTCTGCTTCTTCTTCCTCCTCTCTCTCTCTCTGCCTTCCTGCCTCCTGCTCGCCTCCCTACAATAAAGATCTCCTGCAGGACCTCTCAGTGCGTGAGTGGCCTAATTGGGAAGGGGCACCCGAAAGGGCACGCGAACCCCCTTTCAGTCACATTTTCCAGAAAACAATGGTGACTATTTTCCCTTTTAAGTGAGCAACTGAGACTGGAGTTTGTGCTTTGATTGAGAGACATTCTAGATTTAAAATGAATCTTGGTTTTATCTTATTGGTGTGTCCAAGTTAGTGAACTTGCTGAGCAGCCAGTTGCTTCATTGTGAAATGGAAGCATGTCTTTCAAGTGAACATTTGGGAACATCCACTGACCCTTGGCTCTTGTATAACAGGGGAACCTGTGTACCAGAGAGAACACGGGTGGAACTGAGAATCCACAGGTTCCTTCAGCCCAGGTTTCCCTTTAGAGAAGGTGAGTGATGAGGTCTGAGTGGAGTCAGGATGGTGCAGATGAATAGAGAAAGAGATACAAATCCAACGGGCCAGGTAACCATCAGTGAGCTAGAGGCTGAAAAGACTGAGGCAGTGAGATGATCTGTAAAATGAAATGGTAGTTCACACAGCAAAGTACAGACAATATAGCCATGATGAGGACACAGGCTGCAGGGGGAATAATTCCTCTGCTTCCTAGGTACTGGAGGGAAGGGCTTTTCAGGGTTCTGACCTTTTTGATCTCTCTCTCTCCTCAAGGGAGCCAGGTGGATCCCTGGTGGGTGGAATATCAGGCTGGCTATCTCAGAACCACTGTGTCTAAAGTACTTCCAGGAAGGTCCTTAATAATAACAGTCACTACTTAACTCAGCCTTGATGACCAGCCTGAAGGGCTTGCTCCAAGCACTATGCTTGGATGGTGTCCTTTCTCCTCCCAGGCAGCAGTGCCAGTTCTATTGCAAAGCTGGGCTCTGTTTTAGCCTCAGGCAGGTGACTAACTTCTCTAAACCTCATCTCCTTTCTGACAAAACAGAAATAACCCCAGCCACCTGATTTGTCCTGATATATCTATAAATCTCCCACCAGCCAAAGAGCTCTTGAGGGCCAAAAGTCATCTGTCTTATGCAATGCCCTTCTCCTAAGGCCAAGAAGAGCGCCTGATACACAGTAGGTGCAATACACACTTGCCAAAGACTGATTCGACACAATACGTACTACTCTGGCTGGGGCACAGCAGACACTCAGTAATAGTGGTTACGGCTAAGAGTTGACTTTTTTTTTAAAACCACTGCGGCAATGGAAAACTTGAATGAATATAACTTGGCAAAGTTAAAGAACTTTGACAGCAGTACAGACAAGGGACTTTCATACCTTTAGTTTAAAATTCTGCTCTAAATACGTACACTTGACAGCCTTAGAAAAGGAAACTAGCTACTTCTTATACTGTTTACTTATTTAATACTATACAATTTTAAAAACAATGTTTCACTTAAGTGGCAAGCTCACCTACAAGGGACGATTCCTGCTCTATTTTACATCCTGCACCCAACTCCCAGGGGAAGAGCTAGGAACACTGTCCTCAGATTGAGCATTTGTGTCTGGTGCTATGCTGCACCTATAATCAATTTTGGGATGGGAAATATTTATGATTAAGGAGGTGACAAAAAAGGACCCTTCTCAAATCCTTTAAAAAAGTCCATTCACAGAAAAATTTAACACTCTCCCAAACTGCAGAAGCTTTACATAAAATATTGGTCTCATAAAATGTGGAAATACCATTTGGAAGTAATTTTCGTCAAGAAAAAAGCAAAGAAAGAGAACAAGTAATTTACAGCCCAAACACAACTCAGAATGCCCTGTGGGTTACAGATGACAGCTACAGTCCTGTGTTAGCACAGTTAATAGAAATAAAATGTAATAAATAATAAACATGAGACGATGTCCATAGCCTAAAATGCCAATAAAAGTAGTACAGTAATAATGACAATGCTGGGTAATAAAAGTTTAGTCCTGCCTGAAGGAAATATAAATATTTTCCCCCCTATTTTATGAAATTTGGATTCTATGTCCTCTTTAAGGAGCCACCAACAAGTTATTATAAAGTCTGACCTATTTTTGAGTCACTCTGAAAAAATTCAAAATGGTATCTTCATAGGCTTATAACCACATGGAAGATGGGTGTATATTTACTAAGGTAGGTAGTGCTGAGTTAGACTTAGGAATAGTATGCTACATGAGCACAAAGCAGGAGACAATCAGGAAGAGCACCTAAGAGAATGTACACTTTTCATCTGTGTTTTACACTATGAAATCGTCAAGCAAAGAAATGACTTTATTCTAGGGAGTAATGAAAGAAGTTTAAGCATTTGACATTTAGTTTTGATCTTTTAGAAAGATTTAACTTATTAAAAGTGGAGACTGAAGATGAAACAATCCATTATAAAGTTCAGGTGAAAAGTGTTAAGAGCCAACCAGAGAGATCAGAGACAATTTATTGAATTGTACAATTATTGGCTAACAGGAACAAGGAAGCGAAAAGCAAGCCAGTGTATGTTGCGAACTTCTACTTCAGTTCGGTGGAGACTTGAGAGAACACAAGAGCATGGATGTTCGGGGGTGGCTAACGCTCACATTTGTGGTACAGGGTTGAGCTGTGGAGACAGTTCTTAATGTCCACTTGGGACCTGGTTAACTCTCAGAGGGTGGGTGTTTGGAGAAGGTGAGTAGAGAAAGAGTGGAGATGAGAGAAGATGAAGGATCAAACTATGAAACGACGGATGAAGAAACTTCTAAAAGCTCTATGAGAAAAAGACTGGGAACTCAAGAGAGCAGTGATACAAAGACAAGTTAGGAGGAGGTATGGATCAGGTTACCAGGTTAGAAAAAAGGTCCTCAAGCCAGACAACTGGAAAATGTACCAGGGGCATCTTGCAGAGCACTGGGGGAGTAGTGAAGGTTGAATGTTATAGGGTGGATGAGCAAATGGAGAAGTAGGGAGTGGAGAGGATGAATGTAGACCAGTCTTGCAAGTATTTATTTTTAAGTATTTATTTTTAAAAAAATGAAGTCAACAGTCTACAAGGATGAATTGAGTACTTTCTAGGAAAAGCACTGGGAATATTAAGGGGGATGAAATTTTGGCCTAATGTTCAAGAAGGAAAATTCCACCAGGAATGCTGGTGTGCATCTGTAATCCCAGCACTCTGGGTGACTAAGGCACGAGGATTATGAGTTCAAGCCCAGCCTGGGCAAGTGGTGAGATCTTGTTTCAAAATAAAAAATAAAAAATGGTCTGGGGATGTAACTCAATGCAAAAGCCCTGGGTTCAATCCCCGTTACTATAAGGGGGAGCGTGAAGTATTGGCAGAGGCTGCTTCAGGAGAATATTGTGATGGAAGGACAAAGTAAGGACAATAAGCAAGCAAGAAAGAATCAAACAGAATTTTTAAAAAATGGTATAGAAGACCCAAGTGTGTGTGTTACTCAAAAAATGGCCCATGTTCTAATGTCTATAAACTCAAAATAACATATTTAAGACCAAGTCTAGACAATCTTTTAAAAATGAATGTTTAGAACTGGGTGTGGTGGTACACATCTGTGATCCCAGCACTCAGGAAGCAGAGGCAGGATTGCAGCCAGTTCAAGACCCGCCCAAGGTACATAGTGAGTTCAAGGCCAGCCTGAACTACATAGCAAGAACCTGTCTCCAAAGTTTAAATTGGTAACATTATATTACTTATCAAAATCAACACATTAGAAGACTGGTTTCTTCTGAGGCCCAGAGAAAGAAACTGGCTCATGTTTAGGAGCTCTGTGTTCTGGAAAAGAGACTATCTAAACCTTGGGGAATGCCAGTGTGGGAGATCCCAAGAAAGTGAGTCATCTTGGAACACTGGCTCTGACCTGAGGGCATGGCTAGTTGGTGTCTCTATCTCAGGCCCTTGCTACACCAAAGCAATGTTGGAAGAATTGCCCATATTTAAATAGCTATTTCTACTTTCTCCCTTTCTCTCCAGCAAGACTAACTACTCAGTGTGAGTTGAGCATGTGTGATCTTTCGCCACAGAACATACACCTAAGATAATAGATGCATAAACTTATCAGTCAAAATGTGTTTGAATAGTCTATCTATCCTGGCACAGTGGTAGGTTATTAAGGGGCTTCATCTTGATGAGGATGCATAGGGAATGTCAGGTGCCCCCCCCCCGACCCACCTCAGTTGGCTGGTCAGCTGGTTGGGGCATCAGGAACTGGTTGTGGTGCTGCAGCACTGTTTTCAGGTAATCCAGCACAGTCTGGCAGGGCACTGGATGGAAAGAAGGACAATGGTCACACATTAGCAATCCCTCAATATGCAAACAGAAAAATCTGAGGTCTGAAAAGATTCGTGATGTGAACTTCTAAGAAAAAAAAAGAATTTATTTTCTTTCTAAAGGAAATGAGAATTTTCCTTCATTTGACATCGTAGTTATTTCAGTTTGTAAATACAGAACAGATGTTACAGTTTAGGAACAATTTTTAGGATCAGCACAATTTGATGAGAACTTCCAATTTACTCCAAGGTCAATGTAGGTCAACAATAATGATCGTGAATAACTTACTGAAGAGACAGGTCATTCTTTGACTCCAACTGCAGTTTAAGCATCCAATTGTATTTTTAAGAATTAAAGTACTGAACTAATGTTTCACTGGTTTTTCAATCAATGATATAATACTGCCAGCCTCTGGGTATAATTTGTCCCCAAAGGTTAATGAGCTGGAATTTTGGTTTCTAGCTTGTGGATGTTGAAAGATGGTGGGACTTTTAAGAGATAAGGAAGATGGTGAGATAATTCAGACAATGGGAAATGCCCTGAAGGAACTGAGCTAGGAACCCTTAGGAATTCCTTCCCAAGAGAGGGGTTATGAAACAGGAGTTACTATGGCTCCTACCTGTCCCCCAAAGTGATCTCTCTCTCTCACACCTGTTCCCACTATGTTGCCATCTTCCATGATGTCATCCAGACACAAAGGCCCTTGTCAGAGCTGGAACCAAGTTGTGTGGACTATAACTCTTCAAAACAGTGAACTAAGTGAACTCCTTCTCTCTCTTGTTACCCAGCCTTAGGTATTTCATTACAGTAATGGAAAAATAGATTAATACACTCTTTTTTAATGACAGAACTATTCCTGACCTCACCAAGAATAGGAATTGTATCCAATTTACATTTTTTCCCAACATGAACACAACCAATGATGTAGTTCTTACTGAGTGCATCTTGTTCTCTTCCTTAAGAAGCTTAACTGGTTTGGTCCAATTTAGGCTTGATGTGTATTTCACTATCTTTTTTGAGACTGTCTTACAGACACATTGCATAATTCTAATAAAACCAAACAGTTATTAACCCAATATAGAACATGACATTTTTTTGTACCACTGCATAAATAATGCCTGCATCTTAAGATCTGTTTTAGAGCTCTTTCAGAAATATTAGTTCTTTTTAAAGGTCTTAGTGTTAGGGAATTGATCATGTTAAAGTATGCTGTGACGCCGCCTCACAGGCTGCATTCTCCTGGTACACCTTGGCTCCTAAAATGACCTCATGCCCTTATCTCTGGTTTCCCTCCCCACACTCACTCCTCATAAACAAGCAATAGCCCACCCCCAAACTGATAAAAGGACGACCTTCCTTTCTTTGTTCTTCTCTCTCCTTCTGCTCATCCTCTTCACTCTCTCTCTGCCTTCCTGCCTCCTGCTCGCCTCCCTACAATAAAGATCTCCTGCTGGACCTCTCAGTGCGTGAGTGGCCTAATTGGGAAGGGGCACCCGGGTGCCCGATCCCTTTCACTTAGTAGCTTAGTTAATAAACCAATTTATACGGATTGCTGCCACTATGTTTCTTAGCTCTGTATTTTAAGATGATTTGTCACCTTAAATAATAAATATTAAACCTAAGTCTCAATTTAAAAGTTTCACCACTGAGCTTTCCTTACTTTTTCTCCCCAGATAGCAAACAAAAGTTATTATCTTTAACCATGGCTAATGGTTTTAGGTTTTTTTGGTGATGTTACCTTGTAACATAATAAATCCCAAAACTCCAATATCCTTTTTTAAAAGTATGAATAACAGGAAGTAGGTTAGAAACATTTTTTCTTGCCCCCTCCAAATTTTTTTTGGAGATAAGGTCATGCTATGTAGACCAGTCTTGAACTCATAGTAATATTCCTGCCTCAGCCTCGGAATGCTGGGATTATAGGCATGCATCACTAGACCCATCCAAAAATTATTTTCTTAAATAGCTATCTTTACAGAGCTCTGTCATGGCTGCCCATGAACAGTCATCTGAATGGAAGCAACCACAGAAGTCAACCAAAAGAAGTTATCCTTGTATCTATGTGAAGCAGAAGGCTTGTTATTTAGTAAAAATTTAATGAAGCTTGTCAAGAACTCCTAATTTCACCAGCCTACTAAAAGTTCAATCCATTTTACCGATGCCATAAGTAAAAAAGATTACAACCTCTGGCTTTGGGCATTAATCATGAAATCAAACAAACCAAAAACAAAAATTGAAAAACTAACAGAGATAGAGACACAGGATTTTAGTTCCAGGTTTTTCACTCACTGTAATCTTTAGAACTTAATTTTTTTTTTTAGTACTGGGGATCGAACTCAGGACCTTGCACTTGCGAGACAGGTGGTGGCACCACCGAGCTAAATCCCACGCCCTAGAATTTAATTTCTATGTAACAGTCTTTCAACACAGCTGAGTGTGAGCATCTAAGAAAGTACCATCTTCCTCAGTTTATGATTAGAAAAATGCAGTGGTACCTATGTCACTGCCTGGCCAAGAGATATGTATACAAGACATACAATGTATAACCTTGTATTTAGCCTGGAAATTTTAGCAAAACTTGTAAATGCTCACTGACTTATTAGGAGAGTGAACTTCCTTTCATCCCTTACCTATATTTTAGAGTCAATAAGATGATTATAGAAAAAATTTTAAATGAAGCACAAAAATGCTTACAAGGCAGCATATACAATCCACTACTCAGTATTACTTCAATGTTAAAAATAATTATGTGTAAAGAAAAAAGACAGGAAAAAAACCCAAAGTGTTAATAACAGTAAATAGTAATTCGCTGGGTGTAGTGGCGCACGCCTGTAATCCCAGCACTTGGGAGTTTGAGGCAGGAGAATCACTGTGAGTTCGAGACCAGCCTGGGCTACATAGTGTGTTCCAGATCAGTCTCAACTACACAGTGAGACCTTATCTAAAAAATAAAAACAAAAAACAAACACACACACACACACACACACACACAAACCACCACCACAACAACAAAATAGCAATTCATACTTTAGTCATGGAATTATGGTAGTTATTATTCCTTTACCTGTTGCAATCCTTATAAAAAGTAGTAGAGGTGAGTATCCCTAATCCGAAAATCCCAAACTGCTTCAAAATCTGAAATACTGGGGGGTTGGGGGATCCCAACATGATGCCACAAGTGGAGAATTCCACACCTAACCTCACACGATGGGTTTCATTCAAATCACAGATACCTGTATACTAAAAACTTTGTATTATGACCTTTAGGCAATGTGTACTACATTTGTATAAAATTATAAATAGATTTCATATTTAGACTTGGGCCCCTCCCCAAGGATCTCACTATGTACTGAACTGGACAAAAACCGAATCAAATTCAATAGTTATGCTCAATATTGACCTTATGGGAAAATTTGATCTAGTTCTCGTCCAGTTTGGTTTGCAACCAGGAAGGGGGAAAGAATTAAGTTCATGAACGAGGTACCACTGTATATGCAAAGATCCCCAAATCTAAAACAAAAACAAAAACAAAAAACAAAACCTGAGACAGTTCTGGACCTAAGCATTTCAGTAAGAAATAACCTGTATTATTTTTAAAAATGTCTAGAATGGGCATAATAATTTTATAACAACTTAAAAGTTGTCTGAAAAAAATCTATTATGACTCTTGCCTCATTTCTTCCTTCAGTTTTGAATCATACAGCCCAGGGAAGGTTTAGGGAACAATTCTCCAGTTTTTATATTAGGCGGCAATGTTAACTGCTTTCCCTGAAAATAAGACCTAGCTAGAAAATAATCAGTCCTGAAAACTTGAGACCAAAAATAACAGTCACAGTCAGCTTATCCTTGCCTTACTCACTTATCACTATTCTCCTGCTCAGAATAGTGGCTATTCTATAAGTCAGGCAAGGCAATGATAGGCTGACATGGGCTAGTAGTTTTGATCTCTAATTTTCAAAGCTGATTATTTTCTAGTGAGGTCTTATTTTTGAGGAAACATGGTAAATAAGTTCAATCAAGGCCTACTGGCTGCTATACTGGAAGAAAATGAAATCTTGTGTGTGTGTGTGTGTGTGTGTGTGTGTGTGTGTGTGTGTAAGGCAAGTGGGTCCTATATACTGATATCTGGGGATATAAGGATAAAGGTCAGAAGACTGAAGACAAAGCTCGCATTTAGCCAAATGATTGAAACTAACACTGCTCTGGGCAATTCAGAGTGTCTCTCTCCCTCCATGATCTCATCTAATATTCTCCCACCCAATTCTTTTTTTTTCTTTCTAGCAGTACTGGGGCTTGAACTCAGGACGTTATACTTGTGAGGCAGGCGCAGTGCCACTGAGCTAAATCCCCAGCACCCTCCCACCCAATTCTTATAAGGCAGACTCTCCAGGTGCCCCTCCAACCCAGTGCCAGGGTGTGCCCTTGATGTTAAGATTGTGGAGTATGTGTGCCTAAGAGCTTTTTGGATAGCTGACTAGATTTAAACAGGGAAGCTGCAGAACTAAGTGAACTGTTTTCTGCAAAAAAAACCCAAAAAACAAACAAAAACAAAACAAAAAATCCCCCAAATCAGTCAATCTGGAAAGTGGAAATAGGTGTACTGAAGTGAGGGTGACCCATATTACCCTGAACCACAGTTAAACCATGCCATCTACCCAAGAGAAGCACAAACCACTGAAAAGGCACAGTGGAAAGCCACCTGTTCCAGTCCCTTGGCTCTGTGGATGACTGTGAAATTTCCAAGTGAGGACATGGCCCTCACAGACTGGGGCACAACAAGCCAGGGTGCCATGTGTGGCAGTTCTGTGGAGTCCACCACTATATTGCTCTTCTAGTCTTCAAGGAAAGACAGCCAGGTCAAGGCTTATGCTAGAGAAATATCAACAGGTCTTCAAGGAGCTGGTTAAGCCCCTAGAGGCCTCCATCCCCAACTGCTTCCTCATATAAATTATGAATTTAAGTGAGTCACTTTGGCTAATGGAGACTACAACCT